CTATGACTACTGTCGTGACTATAGGATTTAATTAGAGTATATTAAGAACCCTAGAATCTATAGCTGCAAAGACGGTGTTCATACTTTCGTGGCCCACTATCTAAATTTAATATTTCCATGAACGAGTGCTAACCTTCAATTGTCGTTCCTTCACTTAAACACCTTTAAAGCATGCAAGTGGTGATCAAATACTCACATGGAATAAAACCAAGAATATTAAATATCAACTAATAAAAAAGACACAATCATGAATTAAATGAAATTAAATAGTACGGCGGCTACATCCAAAACTCTATATTAGTAATTTAGCTACGCATCATCTCTAAAATAAATAAAACAATAAAACCCGGGAGAAGTAGGCCAAAAGTTGAGTCCAGAATTTGATTCAATGCTTCCTCCTCCGATGATGATGGTGCGTAGGCGATGAGGATGGATGATGAAAGGGTGGTGTTACTGTTTGGTGCTTGGAGTTGGTGGAAGGCTGCGTTCGGTGATGATGATGATTAATGTGATGATAATGATGGAGGTTGGCGTGAATGGAAGCAAGGTGGTCCGTAGGAGTTTTGGGCGTGGAGTTGGCTTTGGAGTTTCGGGGAGGTGTGTGCTTCGGTGATTTGGGTTTTGGGTAAAGGGTTTATGTGGCGTGGGGTTGGAGGAAAGGTGGAGAAAGGGCATGGGTTTTTTTTCTCTCTCAAAAATAAAACCTTAGTTCTCTTTTTATAGGCTTTCCTCAAATCCTATTTCTTCAGGAATAAAAAAGTTGTTATTTTTTTTTTCAAGTCAATTTAAATTAAAATTCCTCCAACTCTTCAAGTGCTTCAATTTCTTCCTTCAGTTGCTTTTTCTCTTCAATTTAATCCAAAACCTCAACAATTCTTCCATTTGAGTACAAAACCTACAAATAAAGATAAAATCACATAAATAGCATATTTGTACTCAAAATATATTGTAAAAATCACAAATTAGGGATATAATTAATAGGTAAAATATAAGCAAATCATATCAACGAAGCCAAACTTTTTGCGAGCACGAAGACCAGTTTTGACACTCCGAAGCCATTCATCAAAGTTGCTTTCACCTTTAAGGAGGACTTGAATGATGCTGTTACTGGGATTGTCGTTAGTAGTCAGATCATACGGAGAAATAGTCTTCATTCGAACGACCTCATCAGCAGCCGCCATTCCATTGGTCGAACATGGAAGTGTCCCGTCGGAAGAGAGTGAGGTTTGAGTGGTATTCGTCATGGAAACAGGAAGGCAGCGATTGATACCATGAAGAAACAAAATACACAACAAAGAAGATGGGCGAAAGACGGCTGGAAGGATTTAGTTAGAGTTAACAAACCCTAACTAAACCCTAATTACCTTAACAAGATAAATCAAATAGAGATGCGAGTCAGAGTTAACCTTTTTGCGCTTAACTTCGCTCAGCTACAGGATATGTGCTAAATTTTAGAGAGGGTTTGATTAATTGTTTGAACAAGAATTTGATCTTTAGTTTTGGTTAAAATATAGGGAAATGAAAGAACCAGTACATAACTAGTTAAATTGGACACGAAACATAAAAATATACATGAAATTAAAAAAATATAAAGATTATAAGAACATGAACATATGCGTGCTTAATTAGTTATGAACATATGTTTCATTAATATTAAAAAAATTATAAATTGAACTTTTTTTTAAAAAAAAAAATCATTTTATTGACATCAAATGTTATTGCAATTTTTTTAGAAGAAAAGTATTCAAACAACACTTGCCATAATTATGGGGAACTTCGTAAATTGTAAATCGAGGACGACGTACATCATAATCAAATCGCGAGAAATTCTGACAGAATGAACCTAAAAAACTAAATAGCAAGAGCTGGTACGTAATTTCATATTGAAATTTCTAGTTGGTCAACTCTCTCCATCCGGTGAATATATCGGCTCAAAAAATTTCTTCATGACAGTGTTCCGGTTCTTAGTGCGTTACTACTATGCTCTGCAAAGTAAATATGCTAGTACCCAATGTTTTCAAAATCGGAATTTCACACAGGATCGTTTTGGCGTCTCAGGATCGGATCGGATTCTGGATCGGGGAGATCATAACCATTTAAAATATTATAATAATTCTGAAATTGTGAGTTTCAATTTGTTAGTTCAATTCTTATTTGATTTTATGGAGGAGAAGTAGACTAGTGCCCACATATATATCATTAACTCAAAATTTCAACTTTTATATCTTTTCTAATCATTTTCTCCTCTTTTTATACAAAATCAACAATTTGTACAAGTATGATTGGGATTTTGAAGGATTGCATAAGATCCCATTACAAAGAAAGATTTCATAAGATTCAGGATCAATTTCCTAATTCCGGACCGCAGGATCGTAAAATTCTAAGATCCGAATCGGGCTTTTGAAAACTATGCTAGTACCTATTATATATCTATAAATTTTTGAGAGAAAGAAAGTTAAAGCCCAGACCAACATGAATACATTGTATTGCTTATTCAAAACTGCTAGGACTCTTATCTTTCTTTTCAATAAATAGTGCCAAAGTGGATCACTACAAGAAAAACATCATTTGTCTATAGATACGTTTGTGTGTAATTTTACCTTGCAGTCTGTAGGTAACATACTTTTTTACGAATTTCCTACAAACCTTGAGACGTGGTTATATGATCCATAGCAAAGCATTTTTCACTGAAAAAAGGTTCCGTGGATGATTTATCCACAGACATATTTATGGATATACCGATTATAGATGTTGGTAAATTTTTGGTGAAAACACGCAGAAGAAGAAAGGAAGAAGAAAGGCAAAAAAATCTTCTGAAATGCATGATTAATTAGTGTATAACTATCCTCAATCTAATCATTCCATCATTAAAAATTCGTATGAAGATTAGATAGTGAAGAAGATGAAAAGTGTAACATAAATATGAACATTAATGTCATGGAAATAATTATTAATAAATTAATAGGTCTGATAGTAGAGGAGGTCAGTAGAAAAAAAGCGACCGTATCCTCCACTATTACATATTCATCAAAATGATGCATTTCGTACTATCAAAGTCGGAGAGAAACTGAGTAATTATGCATATTTTATTATTATCATTTGATGAATTACACTCACCACCTCTAAAGCTAAACACTTAATAATTTTAGTATATTTGATAATAAGAACCGAATCTCTTAATGAGGTAAGTGGTGTTGAAATTACAGTATAAAATATAAGTAGTACAATTTAATTTATTTCTTATTCCGTTAGTGTTTATTGAATTAGCATTTTGTGAATCAAAATTAAATACTACTAACTTTTATCAACGAGACACTAAATGTAACATAAAAGTATTACCATAAAAATGGATATTTTGGAGAATTATGCGAAAGCCAAATCACTTGTATAAAACGGGTAACAACTTGGCGAATACTCTGTTCTCTGTATCCAGTCAAGGGAAGAGTCAGTTGTTACATAATTAGGCCAGTTTTAACCTTTCGGACTGGCTAGAGCTGCAATGTTTGAATGTTTCTTATTCTCCTCCTTCATTTCCCCCTTTCTTTTTTGTCTGTATTTTTTAGAACACAAAAAGAGGTTTTTTCATTGGTAGTAACAAAGGATGACTCATCTTTTCCCTCGTCTTAAGTAAAGTACGAAAGGTGGTTGTTTCCTCGTACAATCTGAGACCTAAATAAATAACCAATATAATGTTATCGCTTCACATGGACCACAACCGGCCATTCACTAATTTAACCTTCTTTTTATTTATTTATTCATTTTGCCTTAATCTGTATAAATAGGGAATAGGATGCCAAAACCAATAGGGACGATTGCATGGGAGGAAGCTGGTTCAAAAGAGGCGGTAATCTCCAAGAGCTATATATATATATATATATATATACCAATGTAAATTCTGTAAGTTATCTTTGCTTTCATCCACAAACTCTTCTTCTTGATTATATATTACATCCATTTCAATATTGTCCATCCATTTAGCTGTGTATTTCCCTTTCCTCTTAATTAATTTATTTATTTATTTTGGATCTATTCACCAATTTCATCTGGCAAAATCTTGGATCTTTCATCCTCTGCTTTCACTTCGTTCAGTCAAGAAGAAGAGTAATGTTATTTTCTGGTGTTAATAAATTTTTACATGTATAATCTGCTCCATTTCGCTCCCTTTGATTAGATCTTTGCAAATGCACATTTGCCAATTCTTGAATCTCTGTGAACGTTTTCGACAAAAGAGTCTAACTATCAATTGCCCACATATTCTTAACTGGACGGAGTCACTTTAAAGATGATCTGGACCGTTGGTTCGGGTTCAAGGGGGAGATCGGTTAATTTGGCAGGAGAAAGGAGAAACTAATCGGAAGCTATATTAAGTGCTTACTGGTAAGTGTCTTTCGCTTCGTACTCGAAATGCATACGTTTAGAAAAACTCTAACATTTGGTATGCAAAATCCGTCACTTTTTTGTGTATGTACTGTAACTATTTTCTTTGTTCCGTCTCTCAATGATTATTTATTTAGCATATCATTTCAATACTATTAATATTGAGGATTACTGTGAGATTTAGAGAAATTATTCAGTGTAGTTGCTGTACCACATATGATTGTGCAGCCAGACACAATAGTAGAGATAAAGTAAAATTATTCAGTGTAGTTGCTGTATCACGTACGATTGTGCAGCCAAACACAATAATAGAGATAAAGTAATAATTTTAGGGAGAAATAATTTCTACAGAGTTGCTTGCTATACTAAAAATCAAGATAGGTAGCTGTGCCCAATAATTTTTCTGAGATTCAAGGCTACAACACAAACGGTTGATATGTTGAAATCCGACATTAAGTCACTTATTTTGCGGATGATGGTAGTGCTTTAACCGTTGAAAATGTGTGCAAGATTTTCTGCCACTACATGAATACCTGCATTCTTTTTCTTTTTCTTTTTTTTTCCATATAATTAGGAAGCAAAAGCTCTTTGTTTGTTTGTTTTTTTTTTTTTTTTGGTTTTTTCAGAATTTAATATTAATAACTGTCCCATTCCAGTATACTTTTTTACATTTCAATACACCTTTTTATGTTCCTAATAGAAAAAACACCTAAAAATACACACTAAAAAAACGAAACAAACAAGCCCATGAAAACCTTTTTACATTTACAATGAGTTTTTCGAAATGGTATTTTCTACCACATACTATAACTTATTCTGCATTCTGAATGAAAACCTTCTGTCCCGTTTTACGTCTCTTTTTGAGGCTCATGTATCTGAATGAAAATGAAGGTATTAGTGACTTTTTAGGTCAGGTATGAACTCCAAAGTTTGTAGAAGAGGTAATGGCATAATAGATGTAGTGTCGTCGAGCGGTAGGGTTCTCTTTCCTTAAACAGGGTCCGGCGCGAATTCCGTCTTACACATGATGTAGACATTGTTACCATTGCCAAAGATGGCTGACATTGTGCGCTTGAACCTTATCATGCTACCTATACGGTGTTATCAATGGAGACTCAAACATGGTTACCTACCTCAGAACTCTTAAGAATTAATCCTTGGGCCTGACAAGACCTCTCCTCTGCTGTTCTGTTTCTGCCTGGCCTCTCCTTCACCCATCTATCCTTGGGGGTTATTAACAATGAAAAAGGAAATGTAAAGGGTCAGCCACTCACATTTCCTCTAGCATTTGTACATAGTCAACAACAACAAAGAGAAACCAAGAACAACTTGATTTCCATTTTGGACAGGATCCACGAATACTTATAGTGCTGACACAGTACCAAGCCATAGGGCTTATCAAGCATCAAGTTATGAATTTTTCCATGAGCCAGAATGCTTAAACAGTCATTCCTTTTCTTTTTTTGTGCCTTGAAATGGTGGGAAAAGCTCCAATTGGCGTATAGACTCTTCAAAGTAGTTTAAGAGCCTCCTGCTGTCGTTTCCGCCTTGGAATCATCTCGCCATCTGCAAGGTCCCTGAATTCCAGTGTTACACCATTATTCCTTTGGTTTGGTGTATTTCTGGCTTCATCTAGCTGCAGTTTCATTCACATAATATATTTCAGTTGGGTAATATACTCATTTTTGCACTTCAATAGAGCAAAAATTTTCACCTGGTCCTGCAGATGTTTGTTCTGTTCCCTTAGTGTTTTTTCCTGTGCGATAAGCAAATGGATGGTAAGCAAAAGATACCCGTTTCCAACAAGTTTTCCAACATGAGGGTACTCACCAGAAGCAATAACATAACATGGCAAGTCCAAAAATCAAGGTAGGAAGGAGGCTGCGCTATTATTGTTACTTCTATTTTGTTTCAAAGAAAGATAACCATACAAGTATGGTGATAGCAGTATTTAGCAATCAGATGATGTTTCTGTAGTCCTGGGAGCATCACAAACTTAACACCCGATCCATGCAGATCAAGGTTTGGTAAAAAATTTTGCCTCAACATGATCTGCAGGAGGGCTAAGTCAAACTTATATCACTCTCAGAATCATAAATGATGTGAAACAGATTCACCTAGGTAACAAAGGCAATCCAGGCATAGTTGTGAATCAACCATGTTCGACTTATTTAACTAATAGTTATCTTGGACTAGTTCTCTTGCTAGAGGTAGATTCTACTCAGCAGATGCTCCATTTCGATATATAGGCAATTACTACTCGGAGAACAGTTCTAAATGCAATAACTCTCTTCATTCAGACTATCCTAGTTCCTGCTGATCATTTTTACTTGCATGGAGAACAATTATTAAGAACCTGGAGGTCCCAAGAAGATTACAGGGGAAACCTGAGAAGTTCTTACTACTACGGACTATATATACTGGTAGCAATTAGGTCTTTGTCTGTTATGAGCATTAGGCTCAGATCTAGAACTTGGGCACTATCACTCTCTAGATCTAGTACTAGAACTTTAAGCTCGAACCTTCTTATAGGCTCAGATAATGGTTAAGCTGGAAATGCATGGACAGCAACTTTAAACAGCACACATGACATACAGAAGCCATTGGATGCCTTCAAGAAATTTCCAAAATGAATGTAAGAGACAGCTTCGTGTAATATAGATAATTAACGTACCATTTCACTGAGATCTGCGATGGATTGCATGGACATCTGGGTCTGCGCATAAGAAAAATCCAACTTATTTCAGGATTGCTGTGACAAAAAGAAAGCTGAAGAAAAAACCAACAAGGAAGTAGAGAACCAGCTCAAACTTTATGCATGGAGAAGAGTTGTAAAAGATTCAATATGCTTGAACAAGCTACTATTATGCTTAAAGAAAGCCTTTCTCTCTCCAGAAGCTTTAGATACAAAAAAAATTATCCACACGTAACACAAAGGAGATTAGGTACTTCTGAAAGGTTGGCAATGGAGAAAGGATAAAAGAACCTACGAGTATACATGCTACTGCTAAATGCTTTTAACAGGTTACAGCCACGGGAGAATTTACCATTAGAAACAGATAACAAAAGTCATGATTATGCAATAAGGTTCTCCAACAGGATATTAAATGTTGGACCACACAACCAACCACTAGCCTTCATTTTTATTATTATTTATTTTTTGAATCTGATCTACTGAGAATGTCAATAACCTTCTTAAATCTTGTTTGAGAAAGGGCATCCTCAAGTTGTTCTTCCAACTGCACCAGGTCATCCAGGTTTAGTTGATCAACATCTGGTTCCTCAAGAACCCTGTGGAAAACCAATAACGTTAGAAGTTGCACAGGTTTAAGATGACAGGAATATTCCATGCTTGCCTTTCAACATTTTCCAGGAGCTTCCTGATAGTCAAGGGACCTTGCCCTCCAGAATCCCATGCTTTCTGTTGAAAATAAAACTAAATTAACCATGAAGCTAAATAAATTCAAACATACAGAGACATCCAGTAAGCATATATCTCCAAGCTAATAGAAGAATAGGTGTTTTGACCAAACTTAGACAATAAAAACTACCATGCAATGGCCTAAGCCCAATTTACGTGCCACGAATTAGGGTTCGGTATTCACAGCTTTCGTAACCAGCTGAGTGGCTACAAATCTAGAATTATGGGAGGAACAACAGAACACCGCCTTTGAGTAGCAACAGAGCATAAATTGTAAAAGACCTGGAAATTCCAACTCGCTCATAATATTAATTCAATGTGGAACAGGAAAATTTTTACTTAAACATATTCATGAAGGCATCATAGCCTTTAGTTAGTTCTATACTAACCTCAGAACTTGCTGCAGCATACTCCTCTCCTTCCACTTGCATGTAGCTGTGATATCGGTTAACAATTCTATCCAAACTGAACCCAAAAAAGAAAATATGTTAGGCGAATGTTTGCAGTGGATTGAGTTTACCTATAGGATGAAATAAGTGCTTTAGGAAAGAAAACAAGTAGCGAATCTGTGGTTTCAGTGTTGGAGCCTAAAGGGGAAAAGATTTTCCAGGGCAAAATGTAATCAACATGAACATCAATATATCCTGTATATTCTCAACCAAGTTGAGGTCTGGGGGTCAGATGCACCCGACCTTTTTCAATTATTTAGAGAGAATGTCTCCGTAGCGACCAAAGATATACTTCGCCGTTTGAAGTATTGATTTCTAACAACTTCAATGATAGAAGCACGGGAATTCAATAGTCATTTTGATTTAGTCCATTATTAGTACAAAATTAAAAGAATTGTCAATGATGACTCTTCCGTGTAAGATGTAATAAAGTTAAAAATCACATTAATTTTTCCCTCAAATAAAAATTTCAAACAGGCAAGGGCTTACGTGGGGTGATCTACTTTTGCAAGGGCTTGCTTAGGGTTGTCTATTTTCCACTGTGTTTTGCGGGTTATCAACAAGCACTTTGCTCTAAATATTAGATATGACATTGGTGAAGACAAATCCTCTCTTCTATGAGCTGATAATCCCACTTCTGCTAAAAATTTGTTGAGTCAACCTTGGGACTCCGCATCCGTTCAAAGTCCATGCAACTTAGGCTATCGCAGTCAACAAGAAAACCCATCCCTGGTGGGATTCCCGTAGAAAAGAAAATTTTAATAAAGAAAAGTAATGCGAGATTAATCTCAACATTTCTTATATATTATGTGGACAAAATGCAGATCCGTGCTCTATCAAGACGAGCACGTATACTAATAAATAAACTTCTTTAAGGTAGTTTTGTGCGCTCAAGAGAGTTGACGGTTCCACTTAAATGATTGCCACTATGATTAGCCTATTCCATCAGATGTGAAGGGATTTGCAACAACATGTGAGGCATAAAAATGTCTTCATGCCTTCCAAATGTGGGATACCAGGCCAAGAAGAAAGGCATTTTGTAAATGGAGCTATATGTGAGATGGCTACCCGAACTCAGAAGCAGCAAATTAGTGTAGATAGAGATATGTTCTAGTCACAACGATGAATACAACTCAAAAAACAAAACAAAAAGAATAAATTATAAAAAATCAACATAACAAAAATACATAATAGCTAATTATGTTTTTATACCTATATTGTATGTGAGCACGTGTTATTGAGTTATTTGAAATTTGAATGAATAAACTCATTACAATTTAGATATTAATCATACTGAAGGAGAAAAGCGATACAATCCGAGCACAACTTGTTTGAGTATCTATAACCACCCTTATTCTCTAGAGTAGACCTTGAGTATAATCTTCCACTCCAAGAAGGGGTGAAATTAGCTCTTTCTCCGCGTGTGGACATTTTCGGGGAGTTTGTTAACCCAAACCTATACATGAAACCTCAACTTTAGTTTCTTGTTCTAAAGTTGCGATTAAAGCTGTTAAACAAAAGTTTCCTAAAGGAGATTTGTGGTATACCCATGGTTAGGGGGTCATGCATCTCAACACTGGAGGAAAAAGACAACAAAATCATTTTTTGTCTTCCGAAATTATATAATAAAATGGGCGTCTACAGAAGTCCAACCCTCTTTTTTATTCTACTTCCATATGATTCTTAACTCCCATCCAGCCAATTTGTTTTTTTTAAAAAAAAATTTTTATTCTAGCATTAGCCAATTATTTCACCAAAAAAAAAAAGGGCCTAGCCCTTCTTTTTCCTGATTCCAAAATAACAAAAAATCATATCATTGAGTATGTGTTTAGCTCTCAAGTGTAAATTCTATTTCAGTTTTTTAAAAAAATATATTTTCATTACTCGTTTTGTTTTCTTTCAATAGTCTAGCTGACGACCAACTCTTAAATATGAAAGGCTGATTCCGTCACTGAATGAATGTGGCTAGCAATATTTCACCAGTTCCAACAGGACTTTTGGTTGTTGAAGCGAAGGAAATTCAGTTACCGTGTCCTAAAAATAAATTTCGGTTAGATTTTTCAGAAATTAAATTTTATTACACGTAATTTAAAGCTTGGTGCAGTGTATCTAAGAATGGGGACATTAATGTCACACATAATGGAGAATTATGTTGCCAAGTGCAAACAATGATAAAAATGTTTAATTTTACCAAATACAAGACTATACCAGCCATGAACCCCACATTTCATCGGAGATGATCACTTGTGAATGTCTATATTAATGCTTACCAGAAAAAAAGGGAAACCTGATCAACAACTTGTCACCATGAAGATCTCAAATTTTAGTTGGGTTGAGTCGATTGTTTTGGTTATGTTTAGTTGGGTTGAGTTGTATTAAGCTAAGTTTTTTTTTTCTTTTTCTTTTTGCATGTTTGCAAGTTGTCCACCTTCGATGATAGAGACTAATATTTATTGTTAAATTACAGGCACATCGGTGGGCGTGATAGTTGGCCAAAAGTTGTAAGGTTGGTCCATACCCATCGCGAGTTTTGAATCCTATATATGCTTAACAGGTGGAGGAATCTTTTTCACTTTATCACAACTTTTTTATTGAGCAAAGTTGATTGGCAAAAGTGCTATTGTGATATTCTTATGTTACATTCTAGATGACGTTATTGAATTAAATTACGAATTAAATTTTCGACAATATGTTTTAAATCACTCATTCACCTGGTTTTACTTACCAATTGGTTAGGGTGTTAATATTAATTATAAAAACGTGTTTCAATTACTTAAAAAGTGCTATAGATCGTGTAACAAACAAGTGATGCAAAAAATCTTGTACCAAATTGACCTGTTCTAGAGTGGTAATTAAACATCAAATATTCTATTTCATACAAATTTCAAAATTCAATCTGGATTATTTTTTGGAACATAGACTGTACAAAGTTTAGGTTCTCACGATGTGTTTGTTATTGATAATATCTTAATCAAATAATAAGTTAACCATAATGGTTATGTAATTGTTAAACTAATGTTAAATGGAATGTAAAGTGTCTTTGCCCTATATGGAGGAGTGCATGACAATTTTATGAGCATTATTTGTTGATAGTGATGATAAATCCCATACGGTATGCACTTGTACGTATCCAATCCACAAATACAAAGAGACCAGATGGAAAATTTACCCAACAATAATAAGTAATGCATATCGTAACTCCAATATCCATGTAACAGTTGAGTTCCCGTGCAAGGAAAATTTGTGATACAGTTATAGTTATAGATGTGGAAAAGACTACTTGCTATGTTGCTGCACACTTCTGAACGGCAAAAATTTCTTATATACTCCTCTATTTCACTGTTTTAGCGTTTATAATTTTTTTTCTAAAATATATGTAGTTTTATAAAATCAAGATAACTTTTATCTTATATTTTTAATATTACCCGTATATTGAAAATCAAATATTATTCATCATGAAATTGTATTACTTGGTAATGACGCGCAAGAAAGCTTTTTCTATGACGGTTGATGAAACTTTAAAAGAATAAATCCATTGAGTTATGCTACTGGACTTTAGGCATGTCATTTTATACTTCAAAGCGAAGAATTATATGGATAATAAATCGGGATAATTTTGTATTTCAATTATATTATTTAAAGTTTCATCAATATTGAAAAAACTGCTAGAAAGACATATTTTAAATGACGGGAGTATATAACATACCAGAATTTTGACACGTGGCATCTCAAGGTTCATCCAATGATGAAATAGTGTGTTAGTTAGTGTGCTAGCTAGATTTTAAAAAATTTGATAATATGTGAAGAGAAAACATAGCCTAGCACACGTAAACTAAACACACAATG